CTTTGAATGTGTGGAGACGGACTGAAAGACAAACAGGAAGACAGACACATGCTTATCAGAATAAAATGAACCTGTTCCTTACTCAACACGACCCTCACCATTACTATCTCCCAGTTCCTTATTTTCATCTCAATGCAAAGTATATATGCATATGTATATTTATATATATATAGTACAATGTGAAATATGACTTAACAACTGACTAACCGTTATCCAGTCGCATGAAGCTATGTATGTATAAACAACACCACTATGATCACCAGAAAAAAGCAGGAGGAAGTCTGAAAGAAAACAGAAGTATTACGATGAATTAAACATACTGCAAGAAGGACAACAATGTACTGTAGACCCTATGTCTCTACACTAAGATAAACAAAACATGAACAGTAATATATTTGAAACACAGTACAAACAGCTGCAGGCTCAAGGCTATTTTCTACGTTTCAATATGTTTTGTTCTGGAAAATATGCGCACACTCTGCAAACATAAAGTCTAGGCTTATTTTTTTTCTCTTTAAAAAACTAACAACTAGAAGAAGCACAATTGAGATAAGGACTTATTATTCTGGATAATGTTGCAACTCCTCGACAACCCTGAGCCGACTTGATTGCAACACTGAGAAAAGAGAATTAAGCACCACCACGAGTAGCTGAAGCAGAAATAGGAATATATAACTATGGACAGTGAAGAGCATGTGATGCAAAATGCAACAGCGGGAAGGAAAGAAGCCAGGGGTATGCTATAGAAACGTTATGACACACTGGAGAGAAGAAGGTACTCCCCATTCCGAGCCTGGTCTGCTATCAAACACCTTATGATACAACAAGTCAACTGACGATGGGACAAATCAATAGCCCTCATCCACATAATGTTGAGATTGGCTACTTTTGTTATTCTAAAAAGAAAAAAAAAAGAAAAAAAGAAGAGAGTGAAATGATTGATAGTGTAATTGTGAAATCAAATATTTCAAAAACCAACATCGAGCTACTTTACCTACTCTTTAGACCAATGATACCACAAAGCTGGTTGTACTCATCTAGCTACAGTCAATAGTGCATTTGATATATGTGTTTACACAAAATATGTAAAATTTTCGGTGCCATGAAGGAATGCTAGATTACTGAATACACACGTTACACTGAAACAATTGAACTAAACGTCTCTGCCTTTGCTTTTGAAGAAGTGATGGTGTTAGATTGGCAGTGTTTAACTTGGTACTGAACAGACACCAACATCATGAGCTGTGTGCCAAAGATGTGGCAATACTGTTGGAAAGAGATGTCGGCAGTTGCTTACATATTCTATTTAGTGCATTGTCTGTTAAGGCATGAGATTACCCTCCACGTGCTGTGTAGAGACAAATATAGCACTAGCATGCAGCAATATTGCCATCCTGGCAACGACAGCTACAAACAGAAACCATACACTTTAGGCTTATATGCACACCATAAGAGACAGGCCCAATCAAATGTTAAATAATGTGCTACTTTTACTGAGGACATCACCTCATGCTTTTCCACTGTGTTTCTCATTCGTTGTCAATTATTTTGTTATTCTAGGGAGAACACCTGACCTCACTTCACACGTGACTACACAGGGATCAAAACATCTAGTAGCAATTCTATGACATTTTGCATCAAAATGCTTGACATAACTTCTCCAAACAATAAAGTCAACAGCACTTGACCTCAGCTTTAGTCAGATCTCAGAACAAATGTCGCAGGTGCTTGCATGAAGCCCAAAAGGTTTGGAGAGCTGCGTCTCGTAGTACCTGTGCTGCATATTGCAAAGGAAGCCCTACAGTTCAGATATTCCACTTATCAACAGTTTGATTAGGCTATATACCACTAACAGACACTCACAGACACACAAACATTAAGGAAGGGACACAACTGTGTACAAGTGACAGACAGATATCAAAGAAGCTGCATTCCATCACCTCCGCACACCTTTAAACCCACAGAAAGTTGTTCTAGGACACACATATCATTTATGTTACACACACACACACATTATAAATGTGTTATCCTTAATAATATAATAATAGTCACTATGATTACCTCCGCCAACGGAGTTGGACGGGAGCTGTGTTTATTATTACTTGTTGTTTTACTGTTAATGTTGTTTGGCTTGGATGTTCCCACAGGAAAATTCTGTTGTGTGTCTAAAGAAATGCAACTGAATAAACTGTTGTCGGGAACTGACTCCATAAAAAGAATGAATTCAAAGGTTAAAACGTAGATGTAGCACACATAATGGTACAGATTTAAATTAAAATAAATGCTTGCATTAACACGGCACGAGTATATTTAAACTGTAGGTAACTGCAAGCAAATAACAAAAGCCAAGAACCGCTGAATTACTTAATGAATAAATTGAAACAAAGCTATTCTACTACATGTGAACTCTACAACCAAATGTTAGATTAAAAAAAATCCTCTTTTCTAAAACTATAATATCTCTGTTAACAGTAGTGCACTTATTGGTTTAAGCAGTGCAACATATATGCAAGAAAATAATGCAGTCCACTTATCAAGATTTAAAAAAATGTTTTTTTTCCTTTGAAATTGAATAAAAGAAAATGAAAGAAGTTCATATAAGGAAAATGATTAAATATTAAGCACAGGCATTTTAAGAAAATGTGCAAACTAGCACTTTGTTTTTTTGAATTTACAGCAGGTCTTCTTAAGACCGCTGTATGCAGTTATTCTTTTGAACGACACAACTACGAAAGTGTTTGCTCACGTAAATGAGCAAATCCTTCAGGTTGCAGTTGCAGGCGGTTGCATGTGTGTGTGTGTGTGTGTCCTAATTTGGATACAGAGCAATACAAAACAATTCCAAATGTCAGAAATGAGCCTTAAGTGATGTGATACATGGATGACAACTTGTGCACACTAGCTTCCAAATCTCTTCTGTACATGCTGTGTCTGTGTGTTTAGAAAAATCAGGAATGTATACTATTGTCTAGAAAATCCATCTGCGACTTGCGGTATATCATGAGACGGTGTCAGATCGATCAGTGGAGCTACTCGTTTTGCTTTGATACTGTATTTCCTTTCAAAACGTTGCACGCCATTCGAGCCTTCAGGGGGAGCCGGCGCATAATGAGTAATGCGGATGGCTCCCACCTGCTGAAATGGCCTTGCAATGGTAAAGAACAATGTGCACAGGGGCTTTTATTCCCAATAGAAATTTGATTCAAATTAAATCCCCCCCTCTTTATCACTGTTCCAATCAACAATTTGCCTGAACCCTCCCTCCTTCCAGAAATTTAATTCAATTATCAAATCAAAACCATGTAGGTTACTGAATAACAACAATAGTTTAAGTGACAAATCTTTTTTTTTTTTTGTTAAATCTACATCTCATAACAGTCAGGTGCAAGTTGAGGAGCAGCAATTATGAAGGAGAGAGTTTAGTCGCATATTCCAGCCTGCCATAACTGTGAATGTAAAAGGCTTAAAAAAAACCACCAGCAAAAGAATCTTTCTTTTTTTCTCATGTTTTGAAATGGAAGAGGTCTACTAGCCTTAACAGTCTTTTAAGATATTAGTGGCAGTGTATGCAAATGAGTTAAACTCCAAACTTCAGAAAAAAAGAAACATGTTTTTGCTCAAATACTGTCTCGTCAACACACCTTAATTTAGTAAACCATCAGAATGCATGGACAACAATTACAAAACATATGAGAAATATTTGTCTCTGTCGCTGTCGACAGTGATTTACATTTCAGTAAAATGATTGAAATTGGTACCTTGACAACAGCTGCATTATAATCCCTTAATACCATAGGAATAAATAAAACCCAGTGTCAAATTAACTACTCTCCTTTTTTTATTTTACATAAGAAGGCAATATTGTGACCATCAGTATTCTTAGAGGGAATATTTAGCCCAACCCCAGACGATTTCTTTTGTTATTGTTGTTGTAAATTATACCACAGTAAGCTTGGACATCTTTAGTTTCCAAACTGGTCAGTATGGGTTCACGACTGCCATGATATATGTCTCATGGCAATGTACACACACACACACACACACACACACACACACACANCACACACATATACACACACACACACACACACTTGGACTGACATGCAAATACACAGACGCTCAAACATAAATGCACATGTATATTCACTCAGACAGATCTACACTAAAGGTGTGTTTGTGTGTATGTGTTTCTTTCGTAGGCCTTTCGGTAGTGTTCAACACATAAATCAGTATTTTAGGAAAGCATACATTTAGAGGCCTGTAGTTAGGATCCATCCAGTAGATCAATATCAAACTACTAAGCCTTAAGGCCACCATCTTTTTTTTCTTTTAGAATAACAAAAAAAAAATCTTTTTTTGGGAAACTTAATGTGCCAGTGTCTATACTCATTACTCTTCATACCTCAAAATAAGAAAAGGAAAATCTAGTGCCATTTTATTTGTCATTCTTTTTGAAAGAAGTTTATCTATTTGTACTTATCCATCGGAGACATGCATTCGCATGTGGTCATTGAAGTGCTCCATTTGGTCGAACTTGGCAGGGCAGACGGAGCACACGTAGGTGGTCCCTTCTTGGCAGCTCGCTTCTGCAGCTACACCCACTCCTGTTCCAACCCCAGCCCCTACTCCAGCACCTCCACTCACTGGCATGGCGAGGGCCACCACTCCAGCTCCAGGCTCAGGGACAGCCATAGGCATGGGAATGGAGACGGGGCCCGGGGTGGATGCGCTCCCCGACAGCCCCGTGATGGCGCTGCCTGTGCTGTGCAGGGCCATGTGCCTCTCCAGCAGGGTCTTGTGTGAAAACTTCTTCTTGCAGATGTAGCACTCATAGGACTTCTCTCCTCGGTGCAGCCGCATGTGGACATTGAGAGAGCTCTTCTGGGTGAAGCGCTTGTTGCAGATGCTGCACTGGTAGGCCCGCACCCCTGTGTGTGTCACCATGTGTTTGATTAAGTAATCCTTCAGGGAGAATGAGCGCCAGCAGATGCTGCACTGATGAGGTTTCTCACCTGGATTTTCATGCAAAAAAAAAAAAAACATTAAGAAGAAAAAGAGGAGACAAAATTTGAGGATTAGTTTTAAAGATATCAAGGAAAAGTGCCTCCTACAGAACCTGTTAACAATCATTTGGCATTTTTGGAAAATCAGTTCTGAACATCTAAATAAAGACGGATATGTTATACATGTAAAGTCATCAGGATTCTACAAGCACTATCACTGAATGATCGAGTAATGCCAGAAAAATGTGTCACATTCATCGTCATTCATGGGGAAATAAAAATTCATTGTGATCATCCCACTTTATTTCCTTTCCTTTTTCTGAGGTTGATTTAGCTGCTTGTGTTTATCATGTAAACATCCACTTTGATTAAGTCCTTCGCTGAAATATAAAAATCTGTGTGCTGTGGCCATTTCGGATATATGAAAAACACCGACTGATATTTTATGAAAATTCTAAACTGCTGAAATAACTTTACACACACAGATAGGTGGGCAGGGAAAGAGAAAATCTCACACACACACAATAGCATTGATTCCCATATGATCAGGAATCAAATAATTCATGCATCTATTTGGTATGTTTGTGAGTGTGTTAAGATGTAATCTCATTTTACACAATTGTCTTGACTGACATTATGGGCTGTAAAATATTAACATACCAATAATTATGTAAAACTAACAAGTAGAGGAAGAGACTGATAACACTGCAAAATGAGCTGTAAGTTGTATCGTGCAAGTTAATGAAGTCCTGTGTATCTACTGTTTGCTGCTGCTGCACTGAGGGAATTAATGTGTGGCTACCTGCTTTGATTTAATGAATCCAATATTTCACACTCTCACTTCAGCTTTGTGTTTTTTGTTATTTTTCTTGACCTGGACTTTGGGGATTTCAGAGGATCAGTTAGAGATCAGCAGTTCCGGACGGGAACATAAACAGCAGGTTTATTTACAGAGTTACTCTAATTCAGGAAAGCATACTTGCAATACAATGACTGGTAAAGTTAAAAAACTGTCTACCTTGTCACTGACTGATTACAGCCGGTGAAACATTACCTCTGCTGCACGTGTATCCTGCAGTGGTGCTGCTGTGTCCTTCATCTTTCAGCCTTTTTTAGGGGTGTGTATTGTAATAAATAGGGCTGCGACTCATAATTATTTTTCATTATGGATTATTTTTTTAATTAATGGATTTTTTTGTGTTGGTCTAAAATATCAGAAAATGTTTGTGATAATTTCACACAGCCTGAGGTTGGTGTGTTTAAATATCGTGTTGTTTCCGGCCAGTACTTCAAAGCCCAAAGATACAGCACCTACGTGCGACCAAGAAATACATCAAATTGTTGCTTAGAAAATGACTAAAACAAATTATTCAATTATTAACTATCAAAATATTTGCAGATTAATTGTCTGTTGTTATCAAGTCATTATTTGCAGCGACTCTATATGGCACAAATCCATATTTTTAGGAATATTTAGTCAGTTGCAGTTTTTCTCACCCTGTGAATATGACACGTGCCAAAGTACCTGAATTAAAAACAATTTTAAGTTGTAGATATATTACATGTGTGGTAATCACAATTCAGTATTATGTTAAATCAAACTGATATCTTTTTCAAATAATGCTTTTGAGCTTGATCAATAAGTGACTTTGCTTCTGAATGTCATCGCCGTGCAAATCCACACGAGTGTGCGAGCAAAACAGAAAATTTGGTTTTAAATAGCCTTCATATAAGAGGTGGTTCTGGCCAAGCAATGGATTCTAATGAATAATAATGGCCATTTGAGTAGGCAATTTTTATGAGATCATCTAATTATATGATATCCAATTCTTTCTTTCTGTGATGATAATTTCTTTGGTTTATGATTAATAAGACTGTCAGTGGTGGATGGAAGCAGTGCAGCACCCGCAGTCGACTGGCATTGTAAGTCAAATGATAGAGATACCAGTCGGCTGTGACCTGAAGAATACAGATTTTGAGGCTGTTATTTTACACTTTTCCAGTCTAAAATTAAAGCTAACATACACTACAACAATGCCCACAATATGTTCTATTTACTCATTTCATTCAATTATACTTATTTGTATCAGACCGAAAGTGTAAATTGAAGTTGATTGTAACTTTGGAAATCTACTGCAAATTAAATTAAATCAAGCAAAGAAATTTTTTTCCCCTTGTTTTTACTTTCTGAAATGCTCTTGTTATTCTGTTAATAAACTTTCTATTCAGACAGAGACAGACTTGGAACATAAGACTGCAACTTGCACATCGATGTGTGGAATTAATTCTTGTCACGTTCTCAGTGTGAACGAATTACAATCGCATACCTTGTGTATTTATAGTATGCAGTATGTTGTCCCTGCAATAATAGCATTAATAAAAATAATTAACCTTTTTTTTCTATTGTTTTTGTGTTATGATGAGGAAACATTTCCTCTTTAACTTCACACCTTTTTAGAGCTTTCATGGCACCCCCAAGCCAGAAATATTTATCAAGTGCTGCTGTTATTAGAAGCACGGCTACAATCTACATTAACAATAGAACACAATCTTTTAACTGAGCTTGCTAACTGTAAAAAGTCATTCTGGCATGTGGACTTACCAGTATGGACAAACATGTGTTTGACGTAGTTCTGTTTTGCAGTAAAGGTTTTACTGCAGAGAGTGCATTCATAGGGCTTCTTTTCCCCCTGACCAATTCCTACTGCAGCCTGTTGCTGTTGAGTTGGCGCTTGCTGTACCGACATGGGGTTTGGGAATGATGGCATTGCAGGAGGTGGCACTGCCACAAACTGTGCCTGCTGCTGGCCAGGAAGGAAAGGGAAAGGCTTGTTGTCTCTAGCCAGCTGTGGAGGAAAGAGTGTGGGCAGGAAGGTGCTTCCAGCAGTGCCCATCACTTGGGAATTGCTGGTCACGGTGAGCGGCATCCTCAGATTGCTGGTGTGTGATTCTGCCTGGCGCATATAGGGCGGGGCATTTTGCAGGGCCTGGGACATGACTGAGTTTGGCAGGGGCTGCATCATGCTACTGTCACTAGTGCTGTGGGATGTGTCCCCATCCTCTGACTCGTGCACTTGCTCTGGGGACGAGTCATTGACCTCTATCTGTACTGGAACTCCTTCACCGTGGTGCCCGTCCCCGCTCCCTTCTCGTCCAAAGCCCGTCAGGTACGGCTGCTGCTCCATAGCATCTGGCTCAGTGCTGATGGAAGAGCTCACCCCTGAGTCAAAACATTCAACCTTGGATTCACTCTCTACACCCTCAGTATGGTCAGTGTCGTCTTGGCAGTCCCCGTAGCAGCTGTACTCATCTTCGGCCTCCTGCTTTATGTGCATCCCTCCTGTTTGTAAGCGTACCGGTCGGGGCTGCTTGCGGCAGTGGGTGGTCTCTCCTGTGATGAAGCGATCGCCCTGCTGAGACCTCTCCTGGATGCGGTTTATCCAGGGCGGATCTTGAGACTGCTGGTCCTTCTGATTGCTGAGAGTTGAATCGTAGTTTGTCGACATAGGGTTAATATAAAGGGGGCGCTCGCGGGTGCCGTTCTGCAGAGGGAGGCCAGGGTAGGTGTACAATGATGTGTATGCACGATCCATACTTTGCTGTGATGTTGCTTGCATATAACCTGACTCTGCGTCGCTGCTGGGCCCAGAGGTGCCAGACTCCGGCGTGCCGCGGGGTGTTTCCTGACCAGAGTCTCCTGGCATAACAGGAAACCCCCCTGGCCCTGCCAGGCCCACATTCTGGGACACGATGCGGGTGCACTCATCGATGACGGTCTTGATCTGTAGGATGCTGGCAGCAGTAAGGATCTGCAGGGCCTCTGACTGAGACACCCGCAGGATCCCACTGTACATAAAGTCAATCAGCTTTTGGATGGATTGCACCGAGACCACAGAAGGGATCTCAATGTCGCTGTAGCCCAAGAGCAGCTTGTCCTGAAAGAAGGGGCTTCCAGCGGCCAGCACGCACCGGTGAGCTCGCAGCATACTTCCATGGATCCGAACAGTCACGTCACAGAAGTGCCCACGGTTGCGCTGCTCATTGAGGGTCTCAAGTACAGAATTGCTGAAGTTGTGGAGATTGATGTTATGAATGCGCTCGGTCATCCCCTTGCAACTGATGTCACCTACAAGCAGGGAGCAACATACCCGACATAAAAACTCTTTCTCACATGCTGAAACACGACATCATTCAACCGGCTTAAACACAGCAGTACGCCCAAAGTCTTTTTCTTCACATATAACAACAATATATTTCTATTAGCACAGTATTATTTATATAAAATGTGAAAAAAATGTAATGTAATAGTTGAATATACACAATGTAATGAAACAATAATGAGACAATGAATCACATTAGAGAATCTCTGTTGCATGCAACCAAAATACTGTTTTACAGGCTATATACTAGAAAACACAATTACTATAATTAATTTAAATATAGACCTATGATAAGTAGCATTGGTGCTTATAATGAACAGAACGTAAGAGTGTTCACTTGGGGATTCCTAAAATGATAATACAGATATGGTAATTCTCTGTCTCAAGATACTAGGATGAAAATCAAACAATTTCAACATCTGAGCTAAATAATTTTTTATCTTTAATCATGGTTTAAAAATTTCCCATCGCCACGGCGAGACAATTAAGATGGTTCCTGTTTAATTACTACAAGTTTCTCCTACAGTGTGTATTTCTGAAATTCCTCCTGCCGCCATTAGGTGGTGCAGTGGGCTCAGAGGACAGCAGGCCTCTTTTGTTAGCCATGTGTTCACAGTGATGGTGCTTCCTAACTATCCTAGGAATACACTAGATGTGACCCGGCTGATCAGAGTGTAAGATAACTTAAGATGATTTTCTCCCCTGTTAGTTGTCAAAACTAACTAAAACATAAATCTAAATTAGATAGGTATTTAATTGGGGAATTATGCAAATTGTAGGTTTCAATAATTGCTGTAAAATTAATTTCTTTTGCATTAAAACATGCTTGAGAATAATCCAGACTTCAACCTTATCTGATTGATTATTAGACACATCACTTTTATTCAAACCGAGGAAACTGTCCTCATTTTGGTCTCGGAAAATGTGCAAAAATATTAATATAAGTAGATCATTAATTTATACTATGTCTCTGAGTGAATAATATGTATTTATGACATTTTATTGGTGATGAAATGCCAGCGTCAACACATAACTTAAGTACTGTATGATCGCGGGGAAAAAACTTGATCAGGTAGAAAAATGCTACATAATTTGTCACGCAGTGATACTATAAATCGAAACAAATTTAACAGTGGTACCTAAGACAAAACCATATTTGACAGTAGCAGATTTGTCTCTCTAAATGAAAGAGTTTAGCTCAATTGTCCCACCGATGAAGATTAATAGTTCTCCAACAAACTATTGCGTCTTATTTCAAGCCAAGTTATTTCTAACTGAAACAGGGAAAAAGATACAAAAAAAAAAGTGAAACAGTGCGGTACTCACAGTCAGATGACGTTTTGTTACGAAGATGCTTGTGTGGCTGGTGATGAAGTGCGGGTCAAGCTTCAGTTTGCTGGTGGAGATGGCTGATCAGAGGCCGGGTGCTAGGCAAGGCTGTCAGTCCTCTCTGTCCAAATCCTGTGTTGCTCTGCCACAGTGTTTGGAGGGGGAGAGAAAAGACAAAGACAAATCTTAATGCCACATACTGCCTCGTCGATATTGCCACTCCCTTAATGAACCAGGAACCACAGTAACACGAATATCTGCCAGCGACGCGCTGCAACAGATGTGTGAAGAGTTTTCAAAAGCGAGACGAATGGACGCTCCTGTGTGCACATGACCACCAATTACAAATCAAGGTTGAAAATAACAGTGGTGTTGGAAGCCACTTCTTCTCTTAGCAGTTATCTGAGCTGCTGGGCAACAAAAAACCACACCCTTCCAGTGAAAGGGAAAAAAAAAACCTCAATTCCTCATAAATTCACACAGATGAAATGTTTTAGTAAATATCTCAGACAAAGCTTGCTGCGAAGTGTGACATTAAAACAAGACAATGTCCAGCACTGACATGAGGAGTGGGGTAAAATAGGGAAAAAAAAGAAATATTAAACACACAAGGCATTCATTTAAAAACACAAAAAAGGCATTCAACAACATTAACCATGTGATGAGCTGATGACAGAAAAGCCTTACACAATTGCTCTTATACTGTACACACACATTAGAATGCAAAAGTTTGACTTTAAAACTGACCACATAAAAGTCACACACTTACACTGGTGTCATTTAAGGTCAGGCCGGGTGGAAAAAAAACTGGATGGAACCAAAGCAAAATGCCCTTTTCAAACAATTTCTCACATATTAGTTCTACTCTGGTCCTGGTGACTTCGATATAAGCTTCACAAGTAAACGCAGATTACTCTGCATGCTGGCATGTGGATATTTATCATTAACAGGATCATAAATGTGAGTCTTAAATATGTTTTTTTTGAACACGGGGCAAAAACGTTCTGGTTACGACACGCATATCAAGTGCTCTTTGAAAAAGCCCCTGATTGTACAATGTGAATGAACAGAACTGTGCTAGGATTTCACCAGACCTGCACTTTAGTGTTGACACATATTATTCTTTCACAAATCCCAGGCACTTCCAAAGAACACACCTCTGGAAATGATGAGATTTTTGGAAAAGTGACCTCTGTTTTTTTACCACAGACTCTGGTAGAGTATGGGTCATGTGTGCCAAGGTTACAGATAAGAAAAAAAATCAGGCCATAAATAAGCCAATAGGAAATAATCAGAGAGGATTATGATATTTATTTTTTTTATCTGTAGTGTCGTAAACAAGGGCAGAATAACTTTAAAGGAAACCAGCGCTGAGGGGTTAAAGTGTAACAGTAATAAAGTGAAATGGCTGCGCTCACAGACTGCATTGTGTCTGTCTGCAGGCCTCAATTTGAGAAGCGCTGTTGACAGTGAGACGCTTGCTTGTTTTCTTGAAGTGCTCTTGTCAACTAAGAAATTTTATGATTAGATATAGGCAAGTAATAGCATGTTGGGCAGCAGAGGGTGATCACTCTATACTGAGATGGATCATTCTTTGGCACTAAAACGCACAGACACACACACATGCACACACACATGCACACGCACGCACGCACACACACACACACACACACACACACACACACACACACACACACACACACTAATATGTTCTTCCGTCTTGTTCAGGACAGATAATCTATTTCACGTTGAAAACCTTAACCTCTAAATTTGAATTAAACTCCATTAATCCATTCAATCGAAAACTTAACAGGAACCTATAATCACTCAGAATAAACTTTCACTAAAGATCTCATTATAAACCTGAACTCCAAAATGGAGCCTCATTCTGATATCTAACTTTAGATTCACCCAATAAATCTGCTGCAAGTGCAACTGTCAAATGTCAGAATTTACTTAGTCAAAGTGAGAACCATCAACAGATATCACCATTCTAATGCCTCCTTTGTATTGTAGTACACACACACATAAGCCAAAATGCCTGAGTGCATTACAGTGACAAATATTTGGCCTGTTTTCTTTGCTAACAGTGGTTAGTCAGTTATGGAACTGTATTCTGGACGCCACAGGCCTTCTTTTTCGAGGTCACAGTTAGACAATGCAAACATATATGTTCCCTCCCCGGCTCCCCCGTGCCCATCCAGACATGTAAATCCACCTGCCTACAGGGTAAAGTGAGGTGAATGCTGGCAACAAAGGAGCAGGCCAAGGGAAGCAGGCTTCAGTTGCCCAGACTGCCACTCACAACAGTGATTCCATTTTAGCCGTGACACAGTGGGTGAGCAGCAGCCAGCGCCTACCTGCAGTGAATTCTAATCAGCCCAGGGGTCTGTCTCCCTCCCTCCCTCCTGTACCCTGTCTTGGACTAAAGGGGCTGATGATCCTTCAAAATTAATTAGATCCTTGTAGGAGGCGGCCATTTTCTTTCACTTAACGCTCCACCAAAAAAATAAAAACATTTTTTGAATTACACTAAATTCAGGTGTGTATTTTCCCCCCATCCCCACATTGATCTACTTCTGCATGTGTCTCTACCTGTTTCCTGTTTCATCACGTTGTAACTCTCTCGCCATCTTTCCTTCCATCTGTCTGTCTCTCCGTCTGTGCCCCCCCCCCCCCCCCCCCCCCCCCCCCCCGTCTCCCTCCCTCCCTCCCTCTGAACCCTCCCCGACACCCTCCGCCCCTCTCCGGCTGCCTCCATGCTCCCAGCTCTGTGTCTGCCTCTGTGGAGTTTGCTGTCAATAAATCCCCAGAGGTCAGTTTGTCTGCTGGAAATCAGACACAATGCTTCAGACTGCCAATGCAATGCATGCTCTGCCGCTGCCGCCACAACAAAGACTGGGGAGGGGTGGAGGGGTGTGGAAGTGGAGAGGGGGCACAGAGCAAAAAAAAAAAAGGAAAAATTAAGACAGAGAGATGAAGGTTGCAACTTGGCCAGCCCCGACTCCAGGTTAATCAGCCGTCTGCATAAGGTGACTGGCTCATGAAATACGCAGCATCGCATTGGACATTAGTTAATCAAGGGTGGGGTAGGGGGGGGTAAAATGGTGAGGATGGGGGATGGGGTTGAGAACAGACATAAGAGGCGTGTGCCCATGAAAGGAGCAGTATAAGCCATGTGAATAATATACATCTTGAATATGCAAATACCGCTTACACACACTATACACACATATATTCAAGACCCTGGGTACATTTAAATCTGGAGATAAAAGGGCCACGGGGCATTGTGAAACGCTCACGTCCATGCATTCAGCGTCTTGATGGGTCCGCTGCACATTTGCACTTATCAGGAGTGTTTTTGTGTTGCGCCTAATTAATAGTAATTTATGTTTGAATTTGTTTGAGACCACTACTGCTTAACAACCACTGTCCAACATTGTAATTATTAATTTCAATCATCCATTTAGCCCAAGTGCATTAGCATATAAACTGCCAGAAATCATGCTTTAATGGTATGGTTTGGATAGGTGATCTAATGTAATTTAGAGTACAATGTAAATGCGTGTCGTGAGTACACGTGGAAATATTAAGCAGTAATCAGGAGATGAAGTGTAGATGTGAGGAGTGACAACTGAAGGTGTGTTCGATAACGACACCGCACGCTCATTTCAGTCCTCTGGAAAAAAAAACAATTAACAGCTACAACTCGGTGTAATCAATCAAACTTTCTGAAAAATATAAATAAAAGAATTAAACATCAGCTGATGCTGTTAAGTCTCTGTTCCCTCTGCACGATTAACAGGGTTCTTTTAGGTAACTGAATATTCATCTCCAGCCAACAATGTGATTCAGAGTGATGTGGCTCATGTTACATTCAAATATCAGTCTATAGTGTTGTGAATCAATCAACCTGTGAGGTAAATAAATGCAACTAAATCACACACACACACACACCCCTCAGGAGAAGCAGCAGCAAATGCCTCACACTCTCGAGACTGAATTGATCTGCCTTTATAACATTCACTGAAAATCATCAACTGGCACGCGTAGGCTGATGACAAGTTGAGCCAAGTTTTTCACACTTTTGTTTTTCCTTTTCCTCTGACTTGGTTTTCTCCCATGCCTGAAACTGTATATGGTGCAACATCATATCACCAGAGAAATATTTCTGGGATGAGTCGAAATGTCCGGTGTTGCTCTAGAAACATTTTGAATTATGCTAGAGCCGAGCGTTTTGTGAAACTATTACCACGTGAAATGTCTTCCTGAACTTTGAACCAGCTCTTCACCTAAAACCACAGACGTGAGACTTCACAACCACAGTTTTGTTTTCAAGCTCAGCACAGGGGACATTTAAAAAAAAACTTAGCAAACACTGTAAAATAGCATTTTATGAATTCACAACCACACTATTGAGCAGCAGATTAATGTGTTCCACAGAAAGTCTTTCAAATGTGACTGGATGTGCAGCTTTCTAATAAAATCCTCAAGCAAACAAGTAACAATAAACACCACCATGCTATTACACAAGTACAGGACAGTAAAAGTATTTATCACAAGGAAACGTGTCCAACTTATTTAATTGTCAGATGTGTGGATAATCTAATTCTAAAATACATTTTTAGGGGCAAGTTCAAACAAATCGGTACCGCAAGGAAACACTTCATACCGTGTTTTATAAAGATTTTTAGAGAGAAAAATAAACAGACCCTCAAATCTATAAAGACAGTGTCTCCCTATGGTGATGGAAAGACTGCTTTCAAGAAAATATTAGCCCTGGCAAATGGCTGTGCTTTTGTTAATGAGCATTTGACCAAAAAGAACCATCTGACTACTCATATGACAGTCTCCAAAACACCTCTAACCCCCGAAGCAGATAATACTAAATTCAAGAGTTATCATTTAGACACAAGTGTCCACAGCAACTGCCTCTCCACAGCTACTACACATGTCGAGGACATTTTACCACTCCAAAAAAAGGACCTCACAGGCCATTAAGAGATCTTCATGGACCTACACAGATGCTCATAGGATTTCTCTGTCTGTCACGAGTGTAATATGCTAAAAGAGCGATCAATTAATTCTGTTTGGCGAGGAATCCCCAACTCCCTGTGAGTTCATCTCCCTGCCTGGATGATA